TCAAAAAAAAAAAAAAAAAAAATTGTCACATTCCTATTGTTAACATAAGTGACCACTTTGTATACCATTTCTCTTTAGGAAGCATCTGGTTGTCCCAGAAAAATGAATCTCTTATGTACTAAGCGATAGCCTTTGCTCTTTGGTTCTCATAGGTTGCAGAAGAAAACCCCAGCCAAGTCCTCAGGGAAGGCTGCGTCTGTGAAGCAGAGAGGGTCCAAACCTGCACCTAAAGTTTCAGCTGCCCAGCGGGGGAAGGCTAGGCCCTTGGCCAAGAAAGCCCCTCCTAAGGCCAAAACTCCTGCCAAGAAAGCCAGACCTTCACCCACAGTCATCAAGAAACCTAGTGGTGGCTCCTCAAAGAAGCCTGCAACCAATGCAAGAAAGGAAGTAAAATTGCCGGGCAAGGGCAAATCCACCATGAAGAAGTCTTTCAAAGTGAAAAAGTAAATTTTATAGGACAAAAGGGTATCGTGATGAAATTCAGAATCTTATTTTCTAAGGTCAGTGTGCATTTGTTTAGTTTTGATGCTTTTCAAATTACATTATTTTCCTCCCCTATGAACACTGTAGGGAGGGACTGTAAAGAAACCAGTTAGGCATTTGCTAGCTTTAGGTGCTGTTCTTGGTGCCTGCCTTTTCCCCTTGTTCATTTAAATTTCTGCAATAATCCTGGACTTTCCTAACTATATAATCTATACCTGTTCTTTTTCTCCCCCTACCCCAGCCCCCTATTGTTTTATGGTCAGCTTTGCCTTTTTTTTCCTTCCAATTTTATCTAAACAGTTGCAAAGATTTTTATATTTTTAGAAAGCATAAAGAACGGTGTGCCAGTCAGGTGCTGGAAGTAAAAAGGAGGTGCAGTATAGCACTGACTGAGTTGTAAAGCCTCCTGCCTGGAGAATTCAGTTATAGCTGTAATAATTAATCTTATTTATAAAAACCACTCCACTAACCTTTTCTCTCCAACTGTAAACACAGAGACAGCTTTGGGAGTAAGCCAAAAACAGTGTGATCTCATTAGATTTTGAAGGTATATAACTCCTTTCGGCTACTTTTCATATTGATGAATTTCTAGGTATTTTTCACTGGCCCAAAGCATTGCATTCCTTTAACAGCAAGCACAAGTTCTCTATACCACTTGGTTTTTTGTTGTTGTTGTTGTTTGAGGTGGAGTTTTGCTCAGGCACCCTGGAGTGCAGTGGTGCAATCTTGGCTCACTGCAACCTCTGTCTCCTGGGTTCAGGCAATTCTCCTGCCTCAGCCTCCCAAGTAGCTGGGTTTAGTGTGTGCACCACCACACCTGGCTAATTTTTGTATTTTTAGTAGAGATGGGGTTTCACCATGTTGGCCAGGTTGGTCTCGAACTCCTGACCTCGGGTAATCGACTGTCTCGGCCTCCCAAAGTTCTGGGATTACAGGAGTGAGCCGCCATGCCCAGCCTATACCACTT